TGCACACGGTTACCGAGGGAGCTACACAAAGATGCTGTCCCCATCTCAGGACAACTTGCAAACAACAGGTCTTCCGTGTCCAGGGACCTGCAGCGGGGGTCCTGGTCTGGCAGCCCCCCATCCCCAGCCCCCCCACGCACTGGGCGGGCAACCCCGGGCAAGGCTAACTCCTCCACACCTTGCTTCTCCCCGCTCCGTCTTGAGAAGGCCAAGCACTCCTCCTCGACAGAGCTTCGGGAGGATGAAGGCGGCTGCATGTGCGCAGCACTCAGCGCAGGGCCAGGGCCACAGTGCGCTCTCTGCCGGCTCAGCCAGCCGTCCAGTCAAGACTGAACCAGGGCCTGGGGTCTCTCACCGCCATAGCTGATGCGTAATTGCTGGCTGTTTTTAAGCCCACAGTGTTTTATTAAAAATAATGTGCTAGTTACAAACTAATCTGAGACCAATTAAACCCTGGCTTGCATTTATAGATCCCACATTATTTTAAAGCAGAGAACAGAGCAGGCAGTAAACAGCAACAAAGTAGCTCCAGTTCTGTTAGACCCACTCCCGGTCAAAGGAAACCACATCAGTCACACACAGGCACCTCATCAGATCTGAACAGCTACGCCACACCGACTTCTCACTTATCCCTTGGACTCTACACATCCTCTGGGATGATTATTTAACTTCGTGAATTCATTTCAGCTGAAGGCCAAGCCGCCCATGACGACTTGAGTGAGGTGCTGCCTTCAAAACTGCATGTGGCCGATGTAATACCAAAGTCACTTCTCAACAGCGCTGGTCCTGCTTGCCCTGACTGGACTGACAGGCACAGCACTGTCGTGTGCCCAGGTCAGGAGGAATATGCTAGAATTTGAGAAAGCACTGGGAAGCGAATAGGTCACTAGAAGTAACCTAACCCTAACCCTTCCATGTACAAACAAGGCAGGTGTCTCCAGGGATTGCGAGCTGCCTAAAAGACGCACTGTGAGTGTGCCACAGAGTGAGGCTGAGCCCCAAATTCCCAGACATCACAGTCCGAAGCTCCTTCATTTGATGCTGCCTGAGGCAGGGCCTCAGAGGGACACCCAAAACTGAGACCACAATAAAAGGAATGAGAAATGCAACAACTGCATTTTGCTGGTGGTCTAAAAATCAAACCCACAGTCTGTTTTTCACCATTGGTTTCACTCATAATACCAACACAATCAAGATTGCAATTAGGCAGAATTTTGTTTAGATCTGGGTGCTTTAAAAGGATACAGAAAAACCAGATATCATTCCTAGGCAAGAAACTTAGCCACTCTGCCTGAGCCGAGAATGCAGAGCCTGGAAAAAGCACGAGGAACAAGACTAGAGGCTTATCACGCAGGAAGGTTTCCCGTGTCAGAGACCCTGCAGGGCTCAGCACTGGAACACAGCATGCCAGGTACAGGCGTAGCTGGGCTTCTGTGGGCAAAGGCTTTTTGGTAGCACAAGAGTCGTGTGTCCAGGGGCTGGGACTTGCGAGGGACACCACAGAAGATGGTGAAGGCAACAGGCAGAGGGCTACGGGATGGGGATGTTGGGTCCTTCTGCCACCGGGGCTTTTTGCTTGTCGCAGGTGCATATCCACGCCTCCAGGCTACAGACCTGTGGTGGGGCACCTGGTGGGCAGACAACAGCCCACCACCTCCCCGACCACCCTCTAGTCTGTCCACAGACCAGGACACACAAAATGCAGGGTGAAACGTTGTGACTGAGACGGCTGCAGTGTGCCCTGTTTTGAGGTGTGTGAAATACAAAAACACACCACTTTTCAATCAATTTCCAGTTTTTTCCTTAAATGAGGATGTGAAATTCAGGTTTAAAACAAAAAAAGAAAAAACAAAAACCACACCCTAATCTATTACAATCTATTATAGATGTTGTAACAGGGTGACTTAATTTTCGTTATGAGAGGTAACAAATATATACCAAATGTACACCAAAATGCACTACAGCCTTTTCTTCTAAGCAGGAACTTAACATTCTGGTAATGATTTTTTTTTTTTAAGTTAAACTAGATTTAGTCACTTCCTTTTTAATTAACTGAGTTTTAGATAAATATTTGCAAACTGTCTTCTTTTAATTGTTTTATTAATTTTTTAACACGACAGAGACATATCTGTTAGGTTTTTATTTCTTGATCTTCAAGCATGCAAAAATGCATGTAAAATGGCATAATGTCTATCTACTCCACATACATAAGCAGACTTCACAATTAATAATAATGTGCTTTATTTGTTTCCTTTATTGGTGGGTTAAGTATATAAGTTGGTATTTTGATATTTTGCTAATCCTTTCTAATAAAATAAATTTAATTATTTTAATTAACTAATAATTTCTTAATAGCATCCAGCTCATATTCAGATTTGACAGATAAAGTTTTGTTTGATTTTGCCACATGGTTTTTTAAAACGTGTATCAGAAACGTGGTTTTAAAATTTTCACGAGCTGGATATGCAATGAAAAACATTCAATAAAGTTTGGTTAGACATGGTTTTTCTCCAAAATGTTCATGACACTTCTCCAACTTCCAGAAAAGTTGAAAAAATTGTGCCTTCTTGCTAACATGTTGCCCCTATTTTGGTGTGCTCAGGGGATACCTTCTGCAGAATCAATTGCAAGCAATACTTCACCCCTAAAAAACTTCAGAAATGCGTTACATGTGCTTTTAAAGAACACAATGAAAATATATTGTCTTTCTAAATTTATCTAAGTCAAGCAAACTTTTTAATTACAAAATCTTTTAAATAATCTGAATTGACTATAAAATTGTATTTTAAATGATCTCACTGTTTAGAGTGATCTCAGAAAGATTTTAAGCTGCCAGACTAATATAAGTATATAACATCTTTAAAGGGTGTAACATATAGGAAATATTTTTTTAATGTTCTGATTTAGACATGTATTTTTAGTTTCAGAAATCTATGTTCAAGAAATAGTATAAGTTGGCTAAATGAAACTCTATTTTCTGACATTTCTATTTTTCCAAATTGTATAATTACCCATTTTTAGCGAACTATATCTGCACATTTTCTGAAATATCCTTTTTTTTCCGAATTATATACTTTAGTTCTCCATTTTAAATTATTTGACTTGGCTTATATATATGTATTTTCAAATCGCCTTGTTTAGAGCATCATTTTCAAAACCGGCTTGACTTGGAGAGATGTAATTTCAAAAAGCTACCCGTCTCGGACACCAATGATTTAACTGTCGAATTTAACCATCAATAATAATCTTAAAAGTCTCACACTACCTATCAGTCGAGGGTATTTTGAGTCTTACATGATTAAAAATTCTAAAGTGGACAGTATGTTTTTTTTCAACCCGTTAAAATTGATAACCATAGAAATGGTAACTCCAGTTTTCATGTTTTTTCCTCCCACGAGGTAACATAAAATCAAGCCATTTAAGAAACAAGCAGTTTTTAACATCTTATTTAACAAAACTAAAATTTCATTGAGAAATTTTACTCATTCAATTTCTACTCTCTAATTCTTGGCTTATTTCAGAACATCATTTTCAAAACAAGCGCTGGAATTAGCCCGTTTCCGTCCCACGCTTACTTCACAATAATGCCCTTTCTTTCAGTTTACAAATGTAAAACGCTTGAAATTCTTAAGTAAATGAAAACCTACACACAGTCACTGTTTACTGTGTTTAACCTGAGTTAAAAAATAACCTGAGATTTTTATTCCTAAAACTGTTCACACAACTTAAAAGAGCTTTTCTGTATTGCTAATACAGAAAAATGCCAAGGACATTTTCCACTTAGGATGTACAAAAAGGAAAAACTGTCTTTGTAGACAGTGTGTCAATAATCAAAACACATGGCATAATTTTTGTGAAGCATTTAAAGTCATAAAGAAAAATATGAAAAGGCAACACAGTAGCTGAGAGGTGAAGTAAACGTGAGGTTCCAAAACTGTATTTCAGGTATAATCCCCAATAAACTGGCTTGGGGTGATTTTATTTCTTCAGTCAATCCTGTTCTATTTACAACAAGTAGCCCCCACGACAAAGTAGCTCCATAACTGCGCTGTTCAATTATCAGATTAATCACAGAGCTAATCATCCCCTGAAGAATTCATCCAGAACCATCCCCGTGTTGAACAGAGCAGGAAACTGAGGCTCGGAAAGGAAAAGTCACCCCATGAAAAACCTAAGTATTCTTCCATGCCCTCTCTAGGAAAGAGTCCATTGCTGGGCTGAAGAAAGGTTCGGGTTGATTAAGTCAGGGGGGGAAAAAAACCAACCATGTGCTATTTTGGGGATTAATTTTCACATACACACCATGCGTTTTTAAAAAAGTTCGAATGGAGGGAAAAGCTTAATTTCCTGTGTGGGAAATGGAAAACGAAGGACCTAGCACCTTACAGCTCACAAACATGAGCCCCCAGGAAAGCAGTGAAGCAATTATTCCTAGGGAACACAGCCACACAGCCGGCGGGAGGCCATTAAAGAAAAAGGGTGAAAAAGAATACACACACACACACACACACACACACACACGCACACACCTCCTTCCTCATTGGGGGAGGGAGCTGTTCATTTGCAAGTATTTGGGACTGAGATCAGGCAACTCGGCCATTTAAGGAGGCCAGGCATGGGAGGGGGAGGAGAGAGGGGGCTTAAAACAAAACGAAACAAAAAGGCTTTAGAAAAGGCCCGAAGCTTCCAAAGCTTCGTGTTAAAAACATGTAAATTGGAGGCGGCAGTGGCCACGGTGGAGGGGTGCGGGGGCTGGGAGGGTGGCGGAAGTGAGGACAGAGGGCAAGGCAGACGTGGACCAGGGGCCTAAAACTGGTTTTCTCGCCCATCCAGAGTGATGGCTGTCCCGAGACCTCAGCCCAGAGCCCTGGCAGTTCCGTATGAGTCTTATTATTCTCATCTTGTTTTTCTTTTAGACAGAGAGACAGACAGAGACAGACAGACAGGCAGAGCCGCTGTGCACACGGTGCGTGTGTCGGAGAGGCCGCCAGGAGACTCACCGCAGCAATGCTACGTGAATGCAGAGGGCTGGAGGTGGTGTGACTACTCACTTGCTCGGCTAACAGCTGCCGGTTTTGGATGGAATTATTCCGCAACAACAAGAAAGCGTCGGTTAAACGCCTGGTGGCCATGTCTCACCCTTTGTGACCCCCCTCTCAGGGGCCCCCCGCCCACTTATAGTCCTGATTTGTTCACTTTCTTTCTCTCGGCCTGGCCTAGTAGGCCCACCCTGCACAGAAGCCTCTCTTGACAAGGCCTCGGGCCTCGAGTCCGACAGGCGCAGCAGCTTTGCGCTTCGCCCAAGCGCAAAGACCCCTCCCCAAATAACCACCTAGGCTTTCCAATTGTCTGACTCCCCCTACCCAAGACCTGACTTGGATCTCCAAGCACTTAAATCCCCCCAATCCTTGCCTCGCTAGCCAACGTCCCAGAGACCCCACCCCAATCCAACCCGGGATCTACAAGCGTCTAGCTCGCCAATCCGGCTCTGGACTGGGAGGCCCTGAAGCCCCTGCCCCTTGGTCTCTGAGACCCCCAAGGGTCTTGGCCCCCCTACCCCTAACTGGGCTCACACACGACTAGGCCTCGGCCGGAGGCTGGCTTCTGACTCAGTTTCCCCACCAGAGGCCTGCTCCGGGCCCCCCGGGGGCACCCTGGGCCAGGCCTGGGCCCTGCACGCCAGGGCGCCTGGAGCGCCCCGCCTGGCCTGGCCTGGGCCTGTGCAGGCCCGGGCCCGACCTCCTGACCCTCTCCCTCGCCGGGCGGCCTGGTGCTGCGGCCTCAGCCGGCTGCCGGCCTCCAAAGGGCAGCAGGGCCACCTCCCGGCCTCCTCACGCCTCTCCTCCGGCTCCCTCCATCCCCGGATCCGACCGCAGCTCGGCCCCGGGCCGTTTCCGCGCCGCGGTCCCGGGTTCTGGCGTCCCCCCGGCCCTCTTCCTGTCCGTCCCTCGCGAGTGCCCCCCTGCGACGTTCGCAAGCCGCGCTCGCAACGTTCCGGGCGCGGGCGCGCCCTGCCCTGTTGCCCCGGGGCGCGGGGCGCGGGGCAGCTGCGGGGCGCCGGCCTGGCCCTGGGCTCCGCGGGCTCGGGCCTGGGAAGGCGCGGGCGGGCGGGCTGCGCCTCGGAGCGTGGGCCCGGGCCGGGAGCCGCGCCAGGCGCCTTGGCGCGCGCTAGAGTGGAAGTTGCGCGGCGGCCAGGGCAGGCCCCGCGGCGCCGCGGGGCGCGGGGGGGCCGGGAGGAAAGTTGGGGCGCGCGCCTCTGGGGCCGGCCGCGCTTGTTTGCCTCTTGGAAAGAAAAAAAAAAAAAATGGATTCGAAAACAAGCAGGCGCAGGGAAAAGGCGAGGGCGGCAGGCCGCGCCGGCCATGGGGTCCCGGGGCGCCCTCCCGGGGGGCTCCGCGGTCGTGGGGCCTCGAGGGGGAAGTTCCCGAAACTTCGGCGGCCCCGCCGGCACCCCACACCAGCTCCCCCGCGCGCCGCCGCGGCGCTCCCCGCGCCCCCTGCCGGCTCCCGCCGGCCCGAGCGCGGCTCCAGGCCCGGGCGCCCCGGGGCGCGGCCGACCCGGGTCCCCGCCGGCCGCGAGGCCGAGGCCCGAGCCGGGGGCGCCGCCGGGGCGGGTCGAGGCCGCGGGGCCCCGGGGGGTCTTAGCCAGGCCGCGGCGCCCCAAGTCGGGGGCGGCTCCCCCCGCGCGCGCTGTGCGGGGGGCTCGGCCCCCTCAGGGCGCGGCGCGGCGCGGCGCTGGGCCCGGATCCCGCGTCTCCTCGAAGGAGCCGGGGCCGCGCGTCCGGGCCGCGGGGGAAAATCACTGTGCAGTCCCGGGGCGGGGGGCACCGAGCGAGGAAAAGGGAAGAAAAGGGCCCGAGAGCGCGGGGCGCGGGCTGGGGGCGCCTCCAGGACCGGGCCCGCCTCGGCGGCGCTGTGGAGGGCTGCCCGGCCGGGCGAGGCGCGCGGGGGCACCGGCCGCGCGGACCCCACGACCCCCGCGCCGAGCCCGCCGAAGGCGGACGCCCCGAGTTAGCTCGCGCAGGGAAATTCGGGGAACCTGTGTGTGAACCCCCCGCTTGAGCGCGGCACCCCGGGAATCTTTGCCTTTGGCAGAACGAGGGCCCGACCCCCCACCCCCAGTGTGAGGTGGCCCCAGGCTGAGCCCCCCTCGAGGACCGAAGCTGTGGCCTGCGGCGGCGCTGAGGAGGGGGGACTGGAGACGGGGCCGCGGGCTCTGCTCCCCGAGCGCGCACACCTCGCAGGGCGGCTTGTTTACCTCCCCGCGCGCGCCCCGGGGCTGGAACGTGATCTCCCCCGACGCGGGCACAGTGTTTTTTTCATCTTTGTACCCACTGCCGTCTCTCTGGCTTGGAATAGGCTCCGGATAAATGTTTTTAAAATATGTGCACGAACGACTGAGCGACGGGCGATTTAGTCCCCAAACTCTCTGGCCTCCCTCAAGTGACTTTAAGCTTTTATCTGTTAAGAAAGAAAAAAAATGTGGGGTTTTAATAATCCTTGTAATCCGTGCCCTGTCTCCCTCGCTGGGGCGACTGTGAAGATCAAAAGAGATAAGTGAAAACCTTTGTAAACCATCAGGTGCTGAGCAAATATTACCGAGGATGGTTATTCATTCATTCCCCTCGCTTGGAAAGCTTAACAAAGTAATTCCTGGTCTGTGTTTCAGCAGATGGTGGTCGCCCTTCCTGGTCAGTCTTAAATATTTATTGCAGGACAATCTTGTTCTTACATTTAGGAAATCAATCAAGCTTCCATTTCTTTGAGAGAAATGAACAGTGCTTGCACACATAAATAATGGGAAAAAAATCCTCCTATTCCCCAAACAGCCACCCCCCAGCAGCCCAAGAGCCACAGAGCAGAGGCCTCGTGAAGACCCCATGGGATGGGCACAGCAGCCCAAAGGCAGCGCCGGCGGCTGCCACCCGCCCCCCCCCCACACACACACACACATGTGGGGCGTGGGGCTGTGTGCGTGGAGTCGTGTTAAATGAAAACAAGGGAGCGGGGGAGAGGACATGCTGTGGGCCAAGATCGGGGCCAAGGACGCCTGACCCATATTGGAAGGGAGGGCAGGAGGATGTAAATCATTATGTTTGAATGTTCCTTGGCTGTTTTATTTTCCTGTCAAGTGGGTTAAGCCCAATTTTTTTTTTAAGCATTCCCTCATGGCCAAGTATGTGTTTCCTTGGAATAGAAATCTAGGTTGATGGTTTTATATTTTAAAAGCTTTCATTGTGACTCATTCTTGGCCTGGCCTAGGGCTCTGCGATACTCCCCAAGCTCAGAGAGCCTGGGTGTCCTGTTTTTTGGGTTCATACCCACTTTCTAATGTTTGGCCAATGGATCCAAGAAGCCACTTGGAGACGAGCGTCTCCTTGTCGCTTTGTCCTCTCCAGCAGCGCTGATGGCCGTCAGGCGCCGGCCTCAGCGCAGGCAGGCCGGGGCGGCAGGGATGGGCCTCGAGGCTCAGGTGCTGATGGGTTACCACCGAGTGAGACTCACACACCCTTTGGTGAAGATGCTCAGAGAGAGGGCCCCGGCCCCCTCCTGCAGCCCTGGCACATGCTAAGTGCTCCAGGAACGGGCAATGTGCTTCCTTACGGCAGCAAAAACGCCCCCTCAGGTGCCACTCTCCCTGGGAGGAAGAGAGGGGCAATCTCCTCTCCAGGGACATTGGCAAGATGTGTGTCCTGTGGCCTGGGATCCAGCTGTGACCACGTTGTCCTTTCTCTGGGAGGAGGGGCTTCAGCGGCCTCGGGGGACACCTTTGCCCTCGGCCTCTCCGGCGCCTATTTAAATACAGTCATCCTTGCATCAGGTCGAGCAGCAAACCTCCCCTGCCTATAGAAAGTCTCCGATGCGCAGATCTGCCAGAGCTGGCAGAGTCGGGCCAGATTTCGGGAACAGGTGCTGTGTGTTCTGTGTCCCCAAATCACCCCTCAAAACCTGGAGTATTTGCAGCGTCAGAACATTCCCTTAGCTCCCTTCCACGATGCCTCTCCCAGCAGAGACACTCTGAGTGAGACACCGGTTTTTGTCCATACTCCATTAGCTTTTTATAGCCATACAATTTAATCCAATGGGCATTTCTGGAAATCTCCCGGTGGCTGTGCATAGCTCTTGCTCGGCACTGCTAAAAGGGATGGAACAGTGCAAGACTCTTCTGGAGAATTTGCAGTCTCCACCACCTCTGCCCAATTACAGGTCTCCAGCATTCTAATAGCCGCCCTCTCTCCCCTCCATCTATCCTGTACCCTGCAGCCGTGGTGACCTTTCCAAAGCGCAAATCTCATCATGTCACTGCCTGATTGAGGCCCCGAAACAGCTCCCTCTGGCCCACACCGGCAACGCGCAGTGGAACACAGAGCTCTGGAAGCCAGCATCACTAATATTAACTAATGATGGTCTTTTCTTGCGTGGCAGACAAAAATTAAGCTAATTGATGGAATAGTCTCCACTTTAAGTGTTTCTGCCTTCACTTTTTCTTAAACCTTTGGTCCCTGCTACCAACTCGGCTGTGGTAGAATATGGTATCAGCCTGGATTTGATTTACCCCAACAACCTGCACTTGATTCATTTTTCTCATGTATCAACACTCCCTGCTGCCCTGTTCCCTCGTCATAGCAGAGCATCCGCTGGGGTGGGGGTCTGCATGCCAGGCCCTTTCCTGCAGCCTACACCTTCCCCACGTGGGGAGCTTTTTCCTTTCTTGGACGTGCTTGGGGGCAGGGGTATGGTGGGGTTCTCTGCCTTCTGCCTGGTGAACACTTCCTTCAAGATACTGCCACCTACTGTGTGGTGTGATACACGTGGGATGGACGAATGAGAGGATTAACCAACGAAAGATGAGATGAACTGTATTAACCACCAAAGGCTACCCGGGGGTCAAGACCTGAGATGGGTGGCAGAGACATGGCAGAGGGGAGCTGTCTCCCCATCACTTGCCTCAGCCACACTGTCCATGATGCCATTCCTCAAGCCACCGGCTCTTGTGTGTCCCCTCACCGGGCTGCTGCTCTTGACCACCCAGTATCAAGGAGCCCCCGCCTTGCCACGTCTCCTTCCAGCGCCCAGCAGAGCACGTGTGGGTGCACCGCCAACCGCAAGACGCAAGCGACATCCAGCCCCGTGACTTTTGGCCTTCGAGGCCGAGAAAGACCTCTGCTTGCAGCACATGCCAGCAAAGCATTTCTCCTGCACTCTATTTTTTTCCAGGATGATGGTGACACATGTGTACTCAAATAAATCAAGCTTCCCATCCAGCCATCTCCCTTGGCAGAAACAATAAGTTGTCTGCCAAGCCAGGGCTGACCTGGATGACTCAACCCTTGAAAAATATAAAGGAAATCATTGTGTTTCAACGCACTGACAGGTATTGAGACACAGCCAGCTCGTCCGCTTCTTGCCTTTTTTCCCATGACCGTGACCACTGACCTGTTTGTGGTCTTCTGTGTGATGTGCGAGTTCAGAGCTGGACTCTAGTCTTCTCCAGATGCCTCTCTTGGAGCCAGCAGCTCCCCACTGGCCACACGGCCTTGTGTGGGTCAGGCGTTCTGTGCTTGCAAGTGACAGAACCCAGATCAGATTGGCTTAGCTAAAAAATAAAAAAAAATACAAATTAAAAAAAATCTAGGCAGAGCTGGGTCCAGAGGGTGAGCAACACCAACAGGA